ATATCGAAATTTGGTGGCAATTCAATTTGGGCATTTTTCCAAGCTACTGTATGAAGAGAATGCTGAAGGCCATCACTATACAGCATACTGCAACATAAGGACTCTTTCGTTCACCTGTTGAAAACAAGGAAGATATTCATGTTGATTAACTGAGTAGCTAATAGGATATGGTTATTATTTACTATTGGAGAAGGGCACAAAAAAATCAAGATAAAAAAAAAAAAGAATCAAGATGAGGTTCTCATTATGAGGCCCATACATGTGGGGAATGGGGTGGCAAAACAAGAACTAGGTGCAACATAAAAGCAAATACAATACAGAATGCACTAAACTATAATGATTTATTTCTAAGACTACCTCCTTTTCATTTGTTTAGAAAACCCTCAATGAGCCATTCCTTTGTCACAGAGTAAACCCAAATATTAAAAATATAGCACAGAATGTAGGCTAGAGATCCAAGAGAAACGATTTCAAATTCAATTAAGGCCAAACAAATATTATTTTTCTCTTGTAAAAAGGAAACTTCCACCTATAAAAAGAAATTCGACATACAGTTTAGTCATTTTTTTTTTCCTCATTGGTAGCAATTCATGACACTTTTAAAGGGGGAAAAAATAAGCATTCGTGGATGAAAATAAACAGAGTGATCAATAAAACTGCATTTTAAGAATGGACATAAAATGTTTAATACAAAACATTAAAAAAAAAACCTATTTCTGAGATGGATTTCATATCAAATCTTTTATAGTACAATTACTGTGGGTTAAATATGTAGAACTTAAAACCACTTTTGCATGAGTAGATTTTCACCATGTGTTTTAAGAGTGTTTATATTTGGAGACTTTTTTTTTGCATGAAATAGACCTGGAGCTGGCTTGTGAAAGGTCTTGCAAAGAGATAGAGATCTTGTGATTGTTAGTTAACTGAAATTCATCTTGTTCTTTCCCGTTTCTTCCGTAATTGCAAGGCTGTATGATTCCATAAAGCACTAAGCATTTCTGTGCTGCCTTGAGGGTACATAGGAAAGCAAGAGTGATGTGCTACTTCTAGAAATAATCCTGGGTATGTACCTAGTATCCTCTAGTAGAGATGGTTTATACTCTCCTCACTTGTGTTTTTCTATGATGTTTAAAATGCACTCTTTTCCAGTAACTAAGTTCCTCATTTCACTTAGCAAGTTCGGTTAACTCTCTGGAAAACATCAATCTTGATCACCCTTATTAACTAAAATCCTCAATTGAGCTCACACAGTCATTTTGTAAGTATGTACCTTTGTGTCTGTTCAATGACAATACTCATAAAAGATATACACACATACAAATAAAATAAACATTTAGTGTTTTTATGAAAGTGTTTTTCTATCACAGACATTTAATGGACTGTTTTCCAGCTAAAGTAAAATCTAGAAAGTAAGAGAATAGTGTTTTCACAATACCACTCTCTCAACTAGAAAAAAAAAATCTTTTAAAACTAAAAATTACCCTGGGTTATCATTTTTAAGCAATGCTAATTCCTTTGGGGGCAAAAAACCAAAAAAAACCCTTAAGTTATTAAACAGAATAAAAAAAGCTCATTCCAATACAAATTTCAGGCAGATTTCATAAGCAAACCTATCACTCTTATTAGGACTAGATACTCTCATTGTTCAAAAGTCTTATTAAACACCTAAAAAGAAAATTAATATTGTCCTAAATTTTCCATCTGCTGCAAATTAATTTTTGAGGAAGTTCTCTTCCTCATCTTTTAGCTTAGAATGCTATAATTTACATATGGGTTTCATTTTCCTGTTTTTAATTTTCTTAAAAGAGATTGCCATGTGGTAGAGTTAAACGTCCTTGGTTAAACTTGGGTAAGAATGTTACTTCTTGTCTGGTCTTAGGTCTGTATAAGTGAATGTGAAACAGTTGCTGTAATGTGATGTGTAACATAAGATGATTTGGCTGGGCCTTTTCCCATTAAAATTGCATCCTTTGAGGATATATTCTGTGTAAAGATAGGAGGAGCTTGTGTTTGAGAAAGCAGTGTATCAGCATCAACATTTTCTAAGCCACTTTGCCAAAATGAAAAGCTAATGTTTTCATATAATTGGCAAGAATGAATATTTTAACTCAACCATTTAACCTATGGCATTCATAGTCAAGAGGAAAATGGAAATAATAATGAGCAAGCAAAAAAAAAAAAAAAAGGCATAGTTTATAATAAAACATAAAAACACATGAGACAGTAGGAAAGCATTAAGAAAGCTCCAAACTAGATATCTTAAACTTTTAGCTATACTTTCAAGTAAAATTGTGAACAAAAAGGGTCACCTGGATTGGCTACTAAATGAAGTTGTACATACTTCTCTTATTAGAGAAACCTCTAATAGAACAGATTGCAAATACTTTAATATTTTATTATGAATTAGCAACTTATTGATAATACTGAGATGAAAGCTTAGCTTCCTAACTCCAGGCTTTTTATATTTTTACCAATGATTATTTAGGATTATTCTAATATAGTGATATTCTCCCTATTCACCTCAAACTGTCTTGTTCTTCCATTATGTTCTCTCTCCGTGTTTACTGGAGTTATTCTTACTACTCTGCTCCCAGACAATACTATTCTTTTTGTAGGTGACTTGGCTCTGAAACAAGCGGTTTGGTTTATATATATTTACATTTACCATTAGATATCAGCATTAGCCATTGAGTGTTCTATTTTGTCTCTTTATCTCTCTCTCCTCGGTTATTTTTGAAGTGTTTAAGATATCTTCTGTTATTTCAGGGTTTGCAGCTGTTGAGTATGACTGAATACCAGATAAATTTGCACCACAAAGCTCTGTTCATCTAGATTGGGTATTCTAAACCTTGGCACTATTGACATTTTGGGCTAATTCTGTTGTAAAGGGCTGTCCTGTGCAACAAAGGATGTTTAGCAACATCCTTGACCTATATCCAGTACATATTCCTCCACTCTAGTTGTGACAACCAAAAACATCTCTAGACATTGCCAAATGTCCCCTGAATGATAACTAATTATCTAGGCCCTATCTATGCTTTACACACACACACACACACACACACACACTCCCTCCCTCCCTTTCCCTTTCTCTCTCTCTCTCCTCCCCCGCCCGCCGTCTTTCACTATGAGATAATAAAATCTGGAAAAAGAGCACGGAGGAAGGACAGTTTAACATGTTGAAAGCACAGTGAATTCTCTAAAAGATGTCTGTTTCAATAGTTAATGTATTGAATGAGGCCTTGAAAAGAGGTACTTTTCTGTGAAGCTCTTTGTGCTTATACTATCATTTTCTACAACAATAGTAAAAAGTCAAGGAATCTTATAATCCTAGACTTAAAAAGGACTTCTAGATAATTTAGTATTATGCTTACAACTTCCATGGTAACTGAGTTGTGCTTATCATTAAAAGCTCAAGAAAAGTTGCTCTCTCAAAATTATTTCAATGTTAACAACCTATGAATCTTAGAAGATGCTGTAAAAAATTTGAAACTCCTACATTTTTAATCCTTAGCTGAGATTATGTATGCTTGTATTTATCCTCAGATAAATAACATCAATTCTCAGGTCTTCTTCAGAAAAATTTCTACATATTACAATAATTTAGTTTGTATTTTTCATTCTTAATATATTTTATTTTCTGTGATGGATCATCTTCTAAATATTCCACATCTATGAGAAGTGAAAACCAAAATAAAACATAATACTCTATAGGGAATACAGCTTACTTGAGAGAGATGACTCTTAAATTCTCTATCTTATTTAAAGGAATTAGTTTGGGGGAATTCAGGCTATTGTCAGCGTGGCTAACTAGACTAAATGTCAAACATAGAAGAAATTTTCCTCATTATGAAAGCCTAACAGCTTTATGAAAAAAAGGAGTTATGTATAAATTCAATGTTAGAAGAAGAGTACTAAAATCAAACACTTTTTTGAGGGGGTCATGTAAATAATTCCAAAGAGGACAAGGAATATTCACTTTTCAGTCCGAGTGGTATAAATACAAATGCCTGCAGTGGTTTTATTGGAACGAGTTATGTTTAAAAGGGTATAATCTATTATTTAAGAGCACTGGTGAATTACAGCAATAAAATTCATTTTAATTCATTAATTACCAATCAGTTGAGAGTCTACTATGTGCTGCTGGGCACTGTGCTAAATGTTATATACGTAGGGGCATGGGACAAGAATATATTATCTAAGCATAAACACACTTAAGCTGCTACTAATTTTATAAAGTTAAAAGATAAGCACACTTACATTAATTTTAATCAATTAGAACAAAATACAGCTATGACATGTATTTAATGTAAAAAAATAATGTTTTCTAAAAGCAACAAACAACAACATTTCATGACTTACCATTGGCAATAAAATGATTGTGGTTAGATAGTTGCTCAGCAAGCCTTTCGTTGATGGGAAATTCATCCTCAGTTATCAAAATGGTACACATTATACAGAACAGCATGCTCTCTACTATAAGCATGTATGCATAAAACTATACACATCTGTCTGAAATCTCTTCAAAAGTCAGGAATCCATAGTATTTGCTATCTGAATTTCAAGAAAGACTTTTCATGTATTTTTATTTCCTTACTAATGAAGTATTATGTGGTATCTGCCAAATCTAGTTTTAAATAGCATAAGGAAAGAGAGTTTGGCACAACTCTACAAACTTGCAAAATTGAAGAAAACTGAGAAGTCTGAACTCTTAAAATTGACATTTGATTTGTGTGACTAGGACATAAGTAAATGGGCCAACAATTTATAGCTGAAGAAGTAGAGGAAGATTATACATAGACACTTACCAATTCTGGCACACTTCCAAAATATACCCAACAATCTGCATAGAATAAAAAAAAAAAAAAAGTAGCTATTGATTACTGGGAAAGGTAAATCATTCTCTTAGTTATCATATAGAGAATTCATTATATACTAGCATTTTAACTTCTGATGCTTTGCTTCAACAATGAAATTGTTTGATGTCAAGCTACCGCAATAACTTATCAACCATCAATGTATACAAATTATCATAAAATGGACTATATGTGGTGTCATAAGTTAAATCCAAGGTAAATTAATGTATGTGGCAAAAATCTGCACAATAGCTTACTACTATAGGATTAATTCAGTCAACTTCAAGTGCTTTACCTTCAAAAGCAGGAACTACACATGCCAATTTAATTAAAAATTAATTTTGAGAAAATGGTAAATGAATACAACTGGTTTGGAACGTGTTTTGACTTTAAAAAATAAAACTCTCATACTAAAAATACCTACTTCTTATAGGACGTAGTAGCTCTAAATTTAAATGATCTATAACCATAAACAGCAATTATATAACAATGTCATTCAATGTGTGCCTGTTTTCAATATAATTAGATAATCCTAGTTTAGGGCACTCTATCCGAGCTAACTATGGCATTTAAAACACATATGGTCTGGAAATAAAAAGAATTAAAATAAAGATGTCCATTTCAATCTATGAATGAATATATTATGAATTAAGTGATATTATATGTATCTATCACTTACTTGGCATGTATAAAAAGTATAAGCTTAAAAAAAGTTATTTAATGAAAAGATATCAGAAAAAAAACATTGTAGGTAACTGTTTTTTGGTCTGAAAGAATAGAATAATAGTGTTACACATGATTACAAACCAAGATAAATTAACGTTACTTATTGTATTAAGTTAGGATTGGTGTAACAAAATCGTAATACTTAAATTCCAGGGAAATTTATATTACCCTCTTTTTGCCTGAAGAGATGGCTGGCTAATGAATCATTTTATTAGAATGATTAAGAATGAAAGAAAATATGGGTTCAATTAAGTTCTATATAGGTTCCGCCTCTAAAATATAACCTCCTGACCTCAAAGTACTCTCTTACTTTAGGTTAAATGAAATAGGTAAACATATAAAATATTTTTTAGGATGGACACTGTGACAGGTGAAACAATTATATTATGGGAATAAAAGGACGAAAATCATATACATCTCTTAAAAGTAAGGTAGAAAAAAATAAGGGCCAGAACATACCTAAATTCAATGTTACTTAACTGGCTGCATAACTGTGAGCAAGGTACTTTATCTCTTTAATAACCACTCAATAGGTTGTTATAAGGAGAAAATGCGTTATGACACAAAGTCTTTAGAATAGTGACTAACTAACCTGCTATGTTCAGTAATACACAGGCTAAAGACACATATGACAATAATTCCAGATAGCACTTAAAATTGGCTTACATTTCATCGAAAAATGGAAGACAACTGGTTTGTGATCTGCAATGTCACGGTTGCTTGATTCTAATAACCGATCAATTATAAGATGCACTATTGATTTAAAGCTACTCTGGTTAAGGAGCTCAGAGGCAGGATACCTGAAGTTCCTCCATGGGAAGCTTAAAGCCTCAAAGAACACAAGAACACAGTCTGAAACCACAGGATCACAATCAGGGTCTTTTTAGGTCTGATATTCTAGAAATAACTCCAAGTATTATTAGGAAGTTGGTACAACACAGCCTATTAAAAGCTATTTATATAAAACAAATTTCCTAACTTGGCCACTTAGATTTATCAGTATCATTTTGACCTTTTTTACATATTTCCTTACCTAGACATATTTCTGCAATATCCCAAATGCTATCTATTAAAACACATGAACTTTTCTAGTTGGTAAAAAACCAATACAATTTTGTTGCTTAGTTTCTATAGTTATAAGCCAATAAGCATATCAGCTGATAAAGCTATTAGGTCTATGAAAATAGGAAAAGAAGACATAGTAGCAATCTTTTCCTGCTGCTTTTTGGTTCCATATTATTATTTCAACAATGAAGTCATCAAAAACTCGTTTTATCCATTAGGTCTAGACATCTTCACCTAAGCAGGAATACTCACTATAATAAAAGGAAAGTTTATGATGAGTCTCATAAAAATATGTATTTTAACAAAAAAGAACAATGGACTATACATTTTTTTCTATAGAAAATACTTATGCAGAACTCGAAATAAAATGGGGCTTAACATTCATATAAATAGAAACAAAATGTTTATGAAAAGCTTTCAAACAGTTGACTGAATCACTATATAATTCAAAATGTAAAAACAGGCATGCTATGTTTTTGGTCTTTTATGTAGGAGAAATATACTACTACTCAACCTCTACTGTAAGGTTGGCAGCCCTGAGAACTCCTTTTTTTAATGTAGCATGTTATGGATGTATTCCTGCTCCCAAAGAAATGAGGAGCAGAATTATTTCCACATGCGATCTACTTTTTTCATAATGGCATCACTAAAGTATAAATATTCTATTCTACTACTATGTGATTATTCTTTAATGAAATAAACATAAGTATCTTATTAGATGGACGTTATGTATTATATTAGAATTCCAAACAACTGATCAATGAGAATGTTTACTGGTTTCTACCATATGCTTTAACTATAAGTTAATAGTCTGGGGTTGCAGAGAAAGGAAAGAAGGAAATAAAATTGGTTGGGTAAAAAGGCTTCATGTATAACTAAAAAGCAAATAAAATTATATAATTTCACAAACAGACAAAGTATTAAATTGAGTGCTTAATACTAAGTGCAATAAGAGTTCAGATAAAAAGGCTGGCATGATGAGAGCACAATTTTTACAAAGGAAGTGGGCCATTGCCATAAAACTAATAATCAGATAACATGTTTTCAACTTCAGTAGGTTAAATAATATCTCTCAGTCCAACAAAAACAAATGATCAGTTTATTAGAACATGATTACTGATTTCCAATATTCAAAACTGGTTAGAGGTTCTATTTATTCCTTCATTTGTGTTCAAACAACCCTAAGAAATAAAGAGTAACAAAAGCCAAATGATTTAGATAATGTGATGTTTGAATAAATGCTAATTATGACTCCAAAGATAAAGAAAAGAGAGCAGACATTATTATTCTGATAGCTGAATATCTACCACCTCGCCTCTTATAGGCCTTTTTCTTTCCATTAAAAGCAAAAAAGTGCTGGAGATAATTATTCCTACGTGAAATATTCTATTTTTTAATCTTTTTATTTCTTAAAATGATTAAGTGAGGTACAGGCTCTTATCAAGGAAGGATTAAGACAATTATTCATAGAAATTAATAAATATACGGTGAAGAAAGTTTAGTTTTTATCACATGGTCTTTTTTTTTATATATACACTCTTTTGGTTGAATTCAACATGTATTTTTGAATTATGAACATGGCACTTTAAAATTTAATTATATTAAGCTCAATGTTTTTGGGGGTGTGAATATATAATTAAAAGGGTGACATACCCAAGACTTAATTTTTACTACTATCTTAAGTAAGTGAAATAAATTTCTCTAAAGATGTTTGCTTTAATGATACAAACAAGACCTTATATGGTTAGAGCAATCTTAGATTGGAAAGGAAACGTCTATATTATTATTTCTGTGAACACAGTGCCTGCAAACTGTTCAAAACTTTCTAAATGTGATAACCAACTTTACTACCTTTATTTAGTAAGATTCTGTGAATACAAAGTTTTTGGATTTTTAAAAAATCCAAAAGGGGGAGAAAATAATGTAAAAAGTTATTACGAAACTAAGTTACATAGAGGAATTCAATTATTCAATGAAGTTTACAGTAATTACATTCAATGGCTATAAGAACTAATTTGGGTGATTAGACTTCATTAATAACATACCCAGTTTTATTTTTGTCCAAGATGCTGGGTGCCAAGGATCGGATATAAGCACAGGTACATATAAGCAGCAAGATTACAGTCAACAGGCTCTGAAAATTGAAAATGGCAGACTAAAAAGAGAAAAAGAAAAATTAATATCACAAGTAAAATTGCATATTAAAACATGCCAGACAAGTCCATATTAAGAATCATACTTTAGTTATTCTGAGAATGCACCTTCTCCTTCATTTTTGGGACTAAGGAATGGAGAAAATGTAGAAATTTTAAAATTGGAGAAATTTTAAAATTCAACAACTTGAATACACTACCAAAAATGTCATGAATCCAAAATAGCTCACTAAAGCTGAATTGGTAAATAATTAATATAGATGTTCTAGGGGCCCAGACTATGAGGCAGGATATGGAGTCTCCTAACTCTGCCAGCAGCTGGCTATTTGATTTGAACTCAGTTGAATCATTAGCCTCTTTAGGTCTGTTTCACAACTGTAAAACTAGGGGAGAGTGGGGAGATTCACTGCTGATTCTTTAAAAGTTATTAAAAATTTTAACACAGGAATTATAGGAAATCACAGGTTTCCAGTCGAAGTAAAATGAAGGTGGGCTTACTCTACTCAAAATTCAGCTCAAGTATATTTTGCAGGAAGTCTCCTTGAACTCATCTGCCTCCCATCTATTTCATATAGAATTCTCCTCTCTGTTCGCAGAGCAAACTGTAACATATTTATTATAATACTTATCCCTCAAAAATGGACATTGTCTTATCAGACTCTGAATATCCAGCACCTGACTATGCACCTGCCATACAGCAGGAGCCCAATAAGGGATGAACAAATAAAACAAAGGTTTAAAAGTGCAGAACTACTACTATACATACAAGCCTCCCCAAATCGAGTGAAAAACAATTACATACATCCAATAACATAAGGCAATTTAGTAAGGTGGCTGGGTACATAATTAAAATATTTAAATCAATAGCCTTCATGATTATATTATCAACCAGTTAAAAGACATAATGGATAAGAGACTCAATTTATAATAACAACTGGAATAAAAAGTTAAAATATCTGGGGATAAGCTTAACACGAAATGTGCAATATTGGCATCAAAGGACAAAACTGACAAAACCTTAAATACACTGAGGAACATAAAAGCAGAATGAAGTAGTATACCAGGTTCTTATATTGGAAGGCAATATCATGAAGCTAATCTATAAATTTAAAGTGAAACTAATACTGATTATTTTTTGAAATAGACAAGTGATTTTCAAATTTGTATGGAAAAATAATTAAGAATAGCCAGGACAATCTAAAAAAGAACAAGCCCTGTCAAAAACTGTCATATATTTTTTAACCTTTTACGTGTTTTTCGATATTTATAAACTATTCAAAACATTAAAAACATTGTACATGTTATTTACCAATATTAAAGACAAAAAATGTTTACATACAGTGCTAAGCGGTGGGAAAGTAGCATGCAAGATTTCACAATCAGTACATCTTTAGTTACATAAATCGTTTTGCAAAGAGGGGAGAATGCAGTGATTATCTCTGCAAGGTTTTTAACCTAATTCCCAACTTCTCTGGATTTCTCAAATTTTCTAAGTGTTACTTTTATGGTTTGAAAAAAAAACCCCAATAATCATTTGTATTTATTTTAATAGTTGTTTTTCTATAGAAATCATTTCTTCACGATAGCAAGGGTAGTTTATATGCTTTGGTTTTTAATTGAGTTTTAATTTTGTACCTGTGAAAAGTGATATGGACCTTATAACTTGAAATAAATTAATGAATTAATATCATTCATATTAATGATCAATTATTGATAGAAAACATAGTATTTTGAACATGAGTATGTTGATAAATAGTATTTGATAATAACCTCATGAAATATAAAGTACAGATTTCCTTCTAGACAGCATAACTGAACATGTATCTACTCTGTGGCTTGAGGCTAGACACAGGATTAAAAAAGTACATAGCACGATTCCTTTCCAACAAGGACTTTACAGCTAACAACAGTAACAACATATTCACTGAATGCTTCTTTTAGATTATCTTATTTATCCTCATATATGTTATTAATACCCTTATTTTATATATGAGACAACTGAGGCATACAGCAGTGATGAGTTAGAACATGACATGAATTTAAAAAACTAAATAGCAACTCTGTAGCATATTTAAGTTACGACAGCCAGGCTGACAAAAATGCTGTTTTCATAAAGAAAAGTCAGGATAAGCTTCAAGGAAAAAGTAGAAATGCATCAAGCCTTAAAAAAGCACAATTAGATAGGCAAAGAATAGAGAGCAGGCTCCAAAAGAGACAAAAGCATGTAAAACATTCCCACAGAATCAGGAATTTGCATGTTCAGGGAATAATGAGCACATTTAATGTATTAAGCAAAGGATTCATGTACTAAAGTGGCTGGAAAATAAATATGCAAAGTAAGTTTATCATCTTCCTAATGGAGTATCTAAATTCATGATTTCAGTGTATATTTTTTTCTTCCCTGACTGTCTTGTTAAAGAAACATGCTTAAATGATACGGTGTCTGAGACTGATTTCTAAATAGTCCTGTGTGTGTGTATGGTGTGGGGCTGATGATGAAATGCTGAGTATAGGAGGCTTCATTGTACTCTTTCTACTTTTGTATGTTTGAATTTTTTCGTAATAAAAAATTTTAAAAGGCACTTAAAACATAACTGTTAAAGAAGTAGGATATATATATACACACATTTGTATGTGAAACCATTTACAAATGAAAATCATTTACAAGTATGCAATATATGATACATACAACTTTGTTCCTGGGGTTTATAGACCCTAACATTTAGACAAATAATCTTAGGTGGTAAAGTCTTTTAGATGTACTCAGACTGGTCAAAAGTGTGTTTCAAACTTATAGACATTAGCCTAACACTGCTTAGTCTACCTAAGCATTCCTCTTAATGGTTAGCATCTGTTGTCCGCTGATACAAAATTTTAGTCTCAGGGTTAAAGGAAACAGATGTTCCTGTTCTGTAGAAAAATAATTGGGATTTTCAATAGGAAAGTGTTATTAAAGGGAAGGGAGGAAGCTAAGAAAAAAGCATATTTGATCACAAAATAGAGAGAAAGATGATAAAAAAGGTGATGGAGGAAGTAAAATTCATTTGTGTTTAATTTTTTTCCAGATATTTTAAATCATAAAATCTTTTTCAAGATATTGTGTTTTTGTACATGCTTTCTAGTTTTGCCTGCCTGGTAAACTGACTCAACCTTCTGGTCTCAACTCAAGGGTTACCTCCTCTGTGAAGTCTTCTTCTGTCCACTCTCCAAACCAAGCAGTCGAGGTATTTGTACATGTATGTCATACACATACCTGCCTATGATAGCATCCATCAAATAGTACTGTAACTGAAACCTTTATTTTACTGTGGTTCCTATCAATTCCTTGTGTCTCAAATAGTGCCCAGTAGTCACTGAAAAATGCTGAACAAACAGAAACTTGAAAACAAATCACAAATCATAGATATTTTAACAAATTCAAGAGCATACTTAGATTCCAAATTAACAATGTTACTAAAAAAAGTGTAGATCACACTGCTCAATATTTTGTTAACCATTCATGAGAAACCACATACTCCTTTGCATTTATATTTACTTGTCAATATTTGGAAAATCCAGAAGGAAGAAATATATGTCCCTGTTTAAGTTAAAGGCTCAGGCTGCAAGGTAAAATAAAAGCCTGAGGTAATTTCCTTTCAGTATCTAAGTCTTTTTGTATCACTTAACTGAAATTCAGAGAAAGTTCTATCAAGCAGTCAGCCTTAAAGTGCTTGTATATGGGACAATGTATGTTCTTCTGACTCCACTAGAGTAGACGAGCTGGCTAGCAGAAAATTCTAAAACTGCAAATAATTCTTAAATCTATGGTTTACCCAGTCTTCCGTGAGGACACCTAGGACAATGCCAGGGAGGTTATACAATGGCATGCTATCCAGTTTAATAAATATAGCTATCTATTGAAAATAATGAGTTATAAAATCTATGACAATTTGTTTCTTCTGGAAGATTTAGGGAAGAATCTATCTTCTTGCCTTTTCCAGCTTCTAGAGGCTGCCTGCATTCCTTGGCTAGTGACCCCGCATCAATTTGATCTCCACAGCCACTTCTTTTGATTATGACCCTCCTGCCTCCTTCTTACAAGGATCCTTGTGATTACATCACCCCTCTCCCCATACTTCAAGATAATCACCCCATTCCAAAATTAATCAAATGTGCAAAGTCCCCTTTGCCAAGTAAGATAACATATTCACAGTTTTTTGGGGGTGGTGGTGGTGGTGGGGCATTCTGTCTACCACACCTACAAACATGTCCTTTTTATAAAGAGGTATCCAATAACATTCCCTAGACTCAGGGCTTCCTTGGCACCCTCTGGAGCACAACCACGAATACAATCAGAAAGGTAACCCTTGAGATTGTGGAAAACTGCAGCCGTGCCCTGCCCTTTGACCATTACTCTCATTACTCTCAGAGTTGTGCTCGCTCTTCTGAAAAATGGCAATGGAGACCCCAAACTATTTTTCTCCAAAAGCTCTCCATACTCCAGACATATCACACTACTTAGAGCTAATAAGAACTTCTGATATGCTTCAAATAATGTGTTATTGTACTAATTTATCCAAATTGAAAGGAAATAAACTTGATGAGTAGGTTACTTTGTAAAACTGTTCTGAAGTAAATCATAATTTGTTAGGCTATTTGAAATAATGAAACTAATTCAGACTTTCATTTGGACACCACTACAGTACATAAAATCATTTATCAATAATAAGAAACTGGTCAATGCATACCTTAGTGTCCAAACACAAATTATTTGCGATGTTGACACATCTTTTTGAAATTCTATATACCCAAGTCAGTTGAAAAGGTAGGAATATTTAGTTCAGATTCAACTTTTGTCATTTTATCTATACAGCTATAATTTACTTTCAGAATCATTCCTGAATGTTAAAACTATATTCACTAAGTTTGGCTATAAGGTTAAACTGGTTTTGATTTTAGATGCATAAATAAAAAATACTTCTAAGCAAAAGAAATGATCCAAAGCATTAGGATGGAAAGAAAGGAAAAAAAGATCCAAGCAGTATAAAGGTTCAAATAAAGAAACAATGAGAAAGGCAGCAAAAATATACATATTAATATGCTAAACAGTGCTTTGCCCAGGAAGTGTTCAATGACTGGATGCTAACCATACATCTGCAGAAAAGACCTGACTAAGCCCATATTACTTTCGTTAGTTCTGATCATGTAAGCTATATATAGCTTTATTTTTAGAATTATTTAAACTGTTTAAACAATTTATTAATTAAGGACCTTCTTTCTGCATAAGGTGGGGCTTTAAATGAATGCCACAGAGGTGTGACATACAGTTTTACTGACATATTAATTTTTCCAGTTTAAATGAAATTCACTTTAAAACAAGAATTGAATACCAAAGACTTAAATTTTTAAACTTCCAAATAGTAGTAATTTTACTTGTTTTAATACCTACTGCTTTTACACAAAACTAAAGTCACTTATCCCTCTCTGGGGGTTGGAGGAAATCTAGAAATGACATTCCTGACCCACTTGTGATAAAACTAATACTACGCTGGAAAAGTAGGTCAGCATTTTATCATTTGCAAATCTAGGTCAGGTCAGCATTTTCCAACTAATGTGTACTTGTAATATGTACCACTATTATTTCTTAAAATATGTACCACTATTATCTCTTAAAATGGAAAACATGGAAATAAACGGATAAATGTTAAGCCTATATGTGAATGTACAACACACCACACACACACACACACACACACCATTCTGTTTGATTTAAGATCTTTTGGTGTTATTAGCACATAAATTCAACCTTTGTTATTTACTGTAAGGTAGCACTGATATTAAACCAAATATACAAGTTATTTTAGTTTAATTTAAACTCAGAAATCAGGATCGCTTAATGCTTCAATGTTAAGAACACATCAGCTTACTTTAGTACTAGTGGCTACTAAACATTTGGATTATTTATTCAAATAATCCAAGTGTATAAATTTGTCCTTGGATAAATCAGCATCTCTATGTATCAGTTTAATTTCACTTGTACAATGAGGGGTTAGACTAAATAGCCATTTAATCTTACTGGTATTGTTTCAAAGGTGGAGAGACCTTTTCAACTTATACTTTTGACTTAAAATTAGTAACTTTCATGGCTATCAGTAAAGCTACAGTCCAGAGTAGAAGCACCTCGACTCTATTCTCCCTGGCAACACTGGTGGTCTTTTGTGCTTAATTCTCATCCCATTGTCATGGATTAAAATATGGTAATTGAAGTCATTATCACTGGGTTACTAAGTTTAGGTGCAAACTCAAAAAGAAACCTCATTGTGTAGCTCTTCCAACTACAATGTACTTTAAGATGCTGATATCCTAAGCTCATGGGAACAGAGCAGGAGTGAAAAATTAATCAATTGGCAATTGTTTACTCATCTATGTCTGACTGGCATATATTTGAGAGCAACAAATCACTAAGACATATTTTATCCCCAGTTACGTTGTTTCTATTAACTAACAGCAGCATGAAGATTTCTGGCATCTGGACATTAAGTTTGAATCCTGGCTTCACTACCATGTGTGTGACCCCAAGCATGTCAGTCTCGTTTCGGAACTTCCTCCATTTGTAAACATTTATTCACAAATTGTTGTGGGCTTGAAATAAGACAATGTTTATACACTGATTTTTCAAACACAGCCTAGCACATAGCAAGTGCTAATATATGAGAGTTACTATTGTTACTTTTGAAAAAAGAAGCATGGTCAGACAGTTTAAATACTGTAGATCTCAAAGACAGTATCTGTCTTGGCTTCAGCTAGTTCATAAGACAGACAATAGTTATTATGAAAAGAATATATCTTTGACTTGCACTATGAGTAAAATAATTCAATTTCAGCTTCTAGGAAGATATGCAAGAATTAAGAGTAAGTCTATTTTCTAAATTGAAGAAGGAACCACATTTTCTATGTTAAATAACAGCTCGCTCATGACACTTTAAGAACAAGTGTATCCATTCTATCATGGAGAAGGTGGGGGAAAGAAGCTGGAGATTATCCTTGGCCAAAGAAGGAATAATGTGCCATAAGCTGCCATCTCTTTGATAAGTGGTGTTAAACTTCTCTAGGGAAAAAGACTGTGACTTATGCCCTAGCTATAATCATAGCTGGCATAAAGTAAGCAACAATTAATGAGTTTTTGAGTAAACGTCTAAGGGTTTTGTGCTGCAGGAACTTCTGGGAACACAGCTCAGTTATTTTCTACCAAAGAGAGGCATTTTGGGGATCATGGCTGCTTCTGATACTGTAATAAAAATAAAAGAATTCTAGGGAATTCCTTTCTCCAGAAATATGCTCATAAATGCAACATTTGGCACGTGACCTTCATAAATTCACCATGAGGGCCAGGTGTAGAAGTTGTTAGCATTTACCATAACAAAAGAAAAATGACTTCAGACAGAGCTTGGGAGATCATAATATTACTACTTCTACTACATCTATCAGTTCTCTGGCTGTGCTGGCTTTACCTCTTTTTTTCAACCTAAAAATGTAAGCATTTCTTTTGCAAACTTTTGTCACTTATTTTAAACTTTTCCAAGAGGCCCAAACTATCAAAGGAATCTGCAGTTACACAAAATAACACATACAACTTTAATAGAGTGTGGGGAGGAGAGGAAGGCAGGAGGCCAGACAGCACTTCAAGTACATTAAGCTCCTAGAAGAGAAACCACCTCTGCAGCAGAGAACCTCAACCATTAAAATCTAGTTTGTAAAGTACCATGTTTAAGGTTGAGAAGAGAAGCCTGAAAAGCAACAAGTGGAAATTAAGGTGTGTAGTTTGGGGTTCATTTGACAACAATGAAATAATCATCTGGGTCAGGCCGGTAGGGAGTTAAGGAAACGCAAAATAACCAGCGCAAACTCGAGTAGCTGCAATGCCTTAAAGGGTCAAAGGACCACAAAGAGTAACCGACCGTATAAGCCAAACCACATCAAGTGGTCTCTACAGGACAGGACGGGCTCCGCGACCGCGGGGTCTTTCTTGGGCGGTCGGCCCTGGCTCTCTCAAGTTGAGCGTGCAGGGGCCACATGGCTCCGAGGCCTGTGCATAATCCTCCGAACCCCGGGAGAATCAAGTTAGTGAGAAGACTCCTCGGCCCGCGCACTCAAGGCTGCCGCCCAACCCCCTAGTCCCAGTTTGATATTACAGTCCCTTTACAAAGTTCAATCGCGACCCCACAGCCCCAGTTCTTACCATAGTGAGGCCGGCGAAGCCCCAGCCACATCACCCTTCCGGGCCCAGGGCGGAAAAGGCGTGCACGCCCCGCCTGCTTCTCGCTCTCTCCCGCGGTCCGGTTGGGTCTGCCAGGGAACCCCTTCCAGAGCCGCGCGACTCAGACGCTAGGATAGGCTCCTCTCTCCCGGAAAAGGCGGGTTTAAATTACGTCATGCAGCCCTGCGGAAGTAGATGACGCTCTCATTGGCTCCGGAACCTGTGCCCGTGGGAGCGGGTCTTTTGGAGGAGACCGGAAGTGGAGTCACTGAGAGGTAGGGTTCGTAAGTGGTGGTTGCGTCTTTACAATAGTAATTGTAGTCCTGTGTTTTTTATCTTATTTTCTGCCCCTGCCTTTTTTCATTTAAAAAAAATTTTAATTCCCTGTTATTTCTCTCTATAACTCCGCAGGGCTTGAATATTTCCTGGCTCGAATCCCCCTCAATGTGTAAGCTACTAGGCCTATCCTTTTTTGACTTTGGCAGAAGACTGGGTTCCCTGGCTTTATCCGCAGAGACTACACCTTCTGGGCACTGTTTTCACTTTCTCCTTTTGCACTCGAGGGGTTTTTTGGATTGTAAAGCGCCTTTGAAATGCCTTGCAATGGTTCTGAAGTTAGGAGGACGCTTGAATCTGGATGGGTGTGTTGAGCAGGCTCTTTGATCGTTTCTCTAACATTGGCCTTTTCTCTCGACCAATCCCTAGTTTTTTACAAACTATAAATAGGTTGCGTCTGGGGCTGAAAACGCCCTAGGCCTTTTGGGATCAGGTAAGAACTCTATGGTAATAAATGGAAAGGAGCTGTCCTTTCCTGATTTCTGTAGTTGATTATGTACTCTAGAGAAGTGATCCACCAGCAAGACAAATCACATGCCAATATTTTCTTTTAATCAGTAGTGGTTTTTTTTTGCTTCCTCTAATTTTAATACTGTTAGATGAGGCTCTCTTACCCCCGCCCCGTTTTTGTCTTCCCATATTCTAAATGGAGAAACAGGGGCGTTGATTTGTTCAGTTTGCATAATTTTTGGGATTATTTAGAAGTCGGAGACGCAGACTTTAGCCCTCCGTCCCCAAGTGAATCAGAAAATAATGGCAATTCTCAAACATATGGTTTTATTTATTCTCCGGCATCAGAGGATTCTTTTAAGAATATTATTTTTTAAAAAATAATTTATTAATTCAAAGTGGATAGAGAAAGGAAATATATGAGACTTTGGTTTATGTACTGTATTTGGCCAAAATATGAGACCTTCCTATATTTAGGGCAACACTGTGATTTCTGCTGATTACAGTGTTTGCTACAATACCCACACACACTTCAAAACAAAACAAAACTATAACTTTACTTTGAATCTATGGAATTTTCAACAGTTAGTCAAATATACAATTTTAGCAAGTATGTACTGTGCTTTATTAATGAGAAAATGAGAATGCAGCAGAGGACTAAGGATGGCCTCTGTTCCTTGGAGAAATTTAATGGTCATGAGGAATAGGGGAATAAGAAAATGTATAAAAATGTACAAACACTATCCTCTTCCTATCAAAAAACAAACCATTTAATACTCTCCCTCATAATTGATTTAAATTATACTTAAGTCTTGCCAATTGCATTAAAGAAACTTAGTTGTGGTAATTTTGTTTTGCAACTCATCAGGATTGGCTTCTAAAAGTAAGAAATGTGTCTGTAGACTTTACAGACACAAAAATGGCTTTTGCTTTCAAGTAAAAATCATACTGATCTTTATGAACACTTTAGTATAATATACTTCTGTGTGAAGTTGTTAAAGATCACAATTGATTTACTATATTTATGGATTATAGTTCATTTTAGGCCATAGGCTCTTATGTACTTCAGCTTCAAAATAGTAAAGAACAATGTTTGCTAGTTATTTTAGTTAATCATAGAGGAACACAAGTGGCAATAGGTAATGCTGAACATATATAATCATATATGTTCATATATGTAAAATAGCAAACAAAGTTAATTTGATCTATGGTGAGAGTCTGGGGAGATAGTAGTTGAGCTACATGGTCATTAAGCTCAAAACACACAAAGTTTTTACTGCCAACAAACTAATGTAAGTACTATCTTACATTACTAACTACTTCAAAAGTAGTAACTAACTACTTTCTGGCAGCTCTGCTAGGGACTCTCATTTCTTACTAAACCATCTTAGACCATTTTCTTACTACAACTAGAATCTGTGTCATTCTTTTGTTCAAAAATTAATTGTTTCTCCTGCATCTAGAAGAGTATTTTAAATTTTGGTTTCATGGGTTCCCTAGAATTGTATGTAAAAATAGTGTATTTACATTTTTCTGTGGAGAGATCACATAGGCTCTCCAATGTTTTAAAGGTTAAATGAGTTAATACAAATAAATTGTCTCACCAAGTATTTGGCATACTGTAAGCACTCAGTAAGCATTGCCTATTGCTGTGTGCCTGGCTTTCTCTTCCAGTAAATTAAAAACTTGAAGGTAGAAATAATGATGTAGAACTGATTGACTTGCATGTTAGAACTCAATAAAAGGTTTTTAAATTAAATTGATATTGCTTTTATACCACCAGACTACTTTCTCCTCCTTTTCTTACTTTGTATCTAGTATTGATAGTGTTGAAGGTTTCCTATTATTTGGTATACCCTTTTTTCATTCTCTGATATTTACATATATTAAAGGACACTAGATTTACTTAACTGCTTGCTTTCTCATATCCTCAAGTAGCCTCCATAGTCTGAGGTTGAGGTTCTTTGTGTTCTAGTGTTTGTCCTCCCTGCAACCCTCCGTTGTTATTCTATTTTTTCCATGGCTCTTAGGTTAAGACCCATAAAAGTTTTGTTTGACCTCCATGTTATTTTTCTTTTTCTTCTTCTTTTTTTTAACCTTAAATGCTTCAATTAAGCATTCTCTACTTCCAACGCCATATATTTGCTCTTCTAAACATAAATCCTCTAAGGAGTTCTCTATGCTCCAAATTTCTTTTTCTATTCTTTCTTGTTTGGGGGAGGAAAACACAGTTTTTCCTCCTACCCTTAGAAAGTTCTTCTAGCTGAAGTAATAATCAAATTAACATGAGACACATTAACAGTAGAAAATGACCCAATTTATTACATATATACATAAGAATATGAGACCAGAGGACAAATTGGGCTTATGTGTCATCCTGAGCTAAGGAGAAGGAGTAAGGGGCAGTAGTTTGGAACTTCAGAAGGGAGGAAGGCAATTCACGTGGAGATAGGAAAGCAAATGTTTGGTAAATAAATGTTTGCTGGGCCATCTTTAACAATGAGATGCAGAGAAGACTTTGATCAAATGGGCCTTGCTTGGTTCTTCCCTATCACACACAGGTTCATATTAAACTATAGTTATCTATGACGATAGCTCTCTTTCTGGAGCAGGTCCTTTATCTAAATTCTCTTGGCAGTTAGGGGAAGGTTAAAGGTTCCTTTCTACTTCATTGGTTGCTCTTTTTTCAGTCTTCCTTTTCTCCCTGTTCTCTTACTATTGAAGTGCTCCAAGGCTCCATCTCTGGTTTTCTTCTTTTCCTGTCTATATTTCCTTTGATGATGTTATGAAGTCTTAATGATTTTAATTACCTTCTATATGCTTAAGACTACCAAATTCATATTCCTGGTTCCCTCTTTTTCTGAACTCCAGACTCACATATCCAGTTTTCTACCTCTACATCTCCACTTGTTTACTTAAAGATACTTAATCTTAAATGTCTCGAACTGAACTTCTTTCCCTCCAAACCTGTCCCATTCTTTCTCATCTCAGTTAATGGCGACTCTATACAGCCAGTTGCTAAAAGTTAAATATTTAGAATCATACTTGACTCTCATATTCCATCAAATTTATTAGCCCATCTTATTGACTTTCTCTATAAAATATATTCAGAATTTGACTTTTCTACTACTTCTGCTTTTAGTACATTGATCATCTCTTGCTTGGATGCCTGTTACTAACTAGCCACTATCATTTCTCTCTTGGATTACAGTAATTATGTTCTAGTTGGTCTCCCTGCTTTCTTTAATCCTTGCCTCTTTACATACAGTCTGTGTTCAGATAATAGCTAGAGTGATACTTTTAAAATATAAGTAAAAACTTGTATTAAAATGCAAGATTCTAAATGCAATTTGTTATCCTAGATTGGATCCTGCAATAAGCAAAAGATATTAGTGGAAAAACTGGTAAAATCCAAATAGTCTGGAGTTTAGGTAATAGTCGTGCACCAATGTTGGTTTCTTCTTTTTGATAAACGCACTATGGTAATCATAACATAAGGTAAGATATTAATATTAGAAGAAACTGGGTGAGAGTATATGGGAACTGTGTACTACCTTTGCAACTCTTCTGTAAATTCAGAATTATTCCAAGATTAAAAAAAATGTAACATTACTTCTTTGCTTAAAAGCCTTTTATGAATTCTCATTTGACTCATGGTAAAAGCTAATGTTCTTACATTGGCCTACGAGACTCTACATGATCTGGTTTCACATTATGTCTCTGACTCCATTCCTGTGAAGCGAGCCCCCTCACTGTCTTCCAGTCATACTGGCTGCTTCATTTCTAAAACACATTAGGCCCACTTCTACATTAGGGCCTTGGCACTGGCAGCTTCATCTAGTCGGAATACTTCCCAGATATCCACACAATAATTCCTCCACCTCCGTTATGAATTTGCTCAAATGTCACCTTTTCAATAAAGCCTACCTCAGCCTTGTATTTTAAATTGCAGCTTTGTAACCATCTGACTCTTCCCCTCCCCCAACTGGCCTCTGCAACTCCTCTACCCTCTTTTATCTTCTCCATTATCTATAGCATTTATTGCTATACCATGTATTTTACATACTTATGCATATTTTTAGTTGTTTGTCTCCTCCCATTAAAATGTAAACTCCACAAAGGCAGGACATTTTATCTGTTTTATTCCTTTATGCCAAGTTCTAAAACACTGTCTGAAGCAAAGAAGTACACAGTATGTTTTGGTTGAATGATTAAACTTGGCTGGGTATTTGAATTTGTAATCCTTGATTTGCAATCAGTCCGAAACACTGAGTTGTTTATCATTTCCATATATCATGCTATTTCTTGCCTCCAAGCC